CTTTAGGCTAAGGAAAATCATGTAAAAGGAAATCACACAGAGGAAAATTTAAAAGGGGAATTTCCTCTTTCATACAGGATTACTATGTTGGTGAATCATCAGTTTTTTAAAGTGTAACAAAAAACCAGAAAGTTCAGTGGTTTTCAGAGTATCTACACTGCCCTAGGGATGGGCAGGCTGAGCCAAGGGAGGAGGACAGGGCTCTGTTCTCATCTGTTTTACTTATTTACACAATCAGAGAAAACAGATGAGAGCAGAATCCTATTTAGTAAGGGAAGATTTTAGGCAAAGCAGAAATCTCAAGACTGAAGGTATTATTTGAAAACTGGATACTAGATACCAGAATTCTGAGAGCTATGAAGACAAATATGACTCTAGGCCTTAAAGAGCTTGCAAATAAATTGGGTAGAATAAAAAATATATATATTCCACCTTTCCATACATTGTCAATGAGAAAGGAAATCTCCCCATGTAATAGGCTCAATTCAGCATTCCTTGTGAATAAGGACACAGAGACCCAAATTAATGACTTGTCCATGTGAGTTACAGACCCAGTCAATTTACGTTAAAATGAGATGGCTCAGGTCTCTTGAAATCCTGCAAAGATGTAAAGATGAGGCTGGTAGGTGGCATGATGGCTGAGGGTTGACTCCCACATGACTGTCCATAGTTCAAGTCCTGGAACTGTAGGCTTGCTTTTTCACTTTCTCTCTTATTCTCTCTGGACATATTAAATAATAATAAATAATAAAGTTAAAGAAAGTTAAAAAAATCTTGTGAAGAACGTTTTCCTTATCCACACAGTTTTCCAAAAACTTGGATCTTTTTTCATTAATATGAAAGTGCTAAGTTTTATCTATAGTTTTAAAATATACTATTTCTGTAGAAAAAATATGAAAATTTCATGTCTGTTTGGGTAACTGCTATATTGTCTTCAAAGTATCCTGTATTTTTCCTTCACACCAGCAAACCACTCTTCAACTGCGTGAAATTATACCATGCCCCATCCGGCAGGTGGCATGGTGGATAAGGGTGCTGGACTCCCACATGGCTGACTAAGGTTCAAGTCCTAGACCTGGCAGCTTGCCTGCTCTCTCTCTCTCTTTGTCCCTCTCTGGTCTAAATAAATAAATAAATAAATAAACAATAAATAATAAAGTTAAATAAAAATAATTCTTTTTTTAAAAAAATTATATCAACCCCACATACTAACCTTTATTTTTTTCAGGGTCATCATCATCCTGAACTTTTTTGGATTATTACTATCAACACAAAAATAAGCTATAATCCCATCTTTCATATTTAAAATTATTTTTTAAAAATCCTTCCTTTGACTTCACAACCATCCTAAAGTATCAAACTTCTCTTTTTTTCTTTCATTTAAAAGCTCTTTAAAAGTGGTTTTTAAACTTACTGCATCCAGTCCTCCTTCTGTTCTCACTGAAGCCATTCTTATCCCTATCACATCATCACAGTTTCTCACAAAATCACCAGTAACCTCTTCTTTAACAAGCTCAATGACCAATTTCCATGTGGGATTTTTACTAGTACACAGAAACTACTCTGGACCTACTGAAATCACTATGACTTTTATTTCTCACCAAATATTAATTGGCTTTATTTATTTTTAGTTTACTCAAACAGAGATTATTTATAAAATGGGGCTGCCCTGTAGTGCAGTGGTTAAGTGGTATGTGGGGGGAGATGGATTCTTCATGGCCATCTGTAGTTCAAAGAAATCCTAGCCCTGGCATCTTGAGAAACATGCTAGGCACATGGGTATATGCCCAAAATTCTGACAAGGAGGAGAAATAGAGTAAAAAAAGGATTGCGGCATGGCCATGGCCCATTTGGGGATGCTTTCTCTTTCTCCCTCTCCCTCTCTCTGCAAGCAAATGCACTCTCTGGCCATATCAATAAATAAATAGATAGATAGATAGATAGATAGATAGATAGATAGATAGATAGATAGGGGCCAGCTAGTAGTGTGGTGGTTAAGGTGACTGGATCTCATATGGCTGACTGTGCAGTTTGAGTCTCGGACCCAGTGGTTTGAAAAATATGGTGGGTGTGTATGCGTATGCATCCAAAATCCTAAGAAGAGAATGGAAAAGAAGGGATTGAGCTGTGGCCATTCACTTTGGGAGTGGGTACTTTCTCACTTTTCTTCTATGCCCCTCTCTTTTTGTCTCTTTGTGTCTCCCTCTCTCTCTTTCTGGTGAGCACACATGCCCCATAGCAAAAACCTGAATGAAAGAAAGGAAGAAAGAAGGAAAGGAAGGAAGGAAAGAAGGAAGAAGAGAAATAGAGAGAGAGAGAGTGGAAGTAAGAAAGGAAGGAGTGGAAGGAAGGAAAGAAAGAGAAATAGAGAGAGGAAGTAAGTAAGGAAGAAAGGAATGGAAGGAAGGAGGGAAGGAAACGAGGGAGGGAGGGAGGGAGGAAGGAAGGAAGGAAGGAAGGAAGGAAGATATTCTCATAAAAACAGAGGTGCAAAGATTGGAGGACTATGTGAACAAGAGAAAAATCAGAAATCAAGTTTACCTCTTGGATGAAATTCAAGTTTACCTCTAAGACATGATGCTCGTTATTTGAGAAGCTGTAAATATATGAGTTCTTTTTTCCCTCTCTAGTGAGAGAGTGACAATAACCTTAAATTCATTGGTCACTCTTATTACGCTTCTTTCTCATAAAGATTGGTGTGAATATCTTACAACCATCTGGGGGGGTCTTACCCTTAGAAGGATAATAAAGAGTCTCCTAGAATAGGTGCCTTAGAAGTGTGTGTGAGCGGAGGCCACTGACCAAAAAGGCTTCATTCAGAGCTGTATTTTGAGAGTTTAAAAGGAAAAGCTTTCTGTATATTGATGTTGAAATTTCAGGGAGGAAAGATGGGCTGTCCCTGATCTCCTGAGGCAATATTGTTTCTGTATGTGAACAGCTGAGCTTTTGGGCCAGCAGGTGGCATGGTGGTTAAAGGTGCTGGACTCCCACATGGCCTGGTTAAAGGTGCTGGACTCCCACTGGACCTGGTGGCTTGCTTTCTCTCCCCCCCACCCCATGCCCCTCTCTGG